TCCACTTTCACTGTTCCCTGGGCCTGTCATCACTTCCAGTCACCATCTCCAATGACGATGCTGGCTCTCTCATGGCTGAACCTTTTTGCTCTTCCTGGATTTGTTTGGTGTCAGGTATCCACTGCTTCTCTACAATAAATTTGTCTTTTGTAGAAAAAGACTACCCTTCTGTAATGGTTCATTTTGTGTGTTAATTTTTACAGGTTAAACTCTCCCTTTATTTAATCAAACTCTAATCTAGATGTGGCTGGGAAGGTATTTTGTATTAAAGCCTCTAATCAGTTGATTTTAAGTAATGAAGAGTATGCTAGATAATCTGGCTGGGCCCGATTCAATCAGTTGAAAAGTTTTGGGAGTAGAGCTGAGGATTCCTTAAAGATGAAGGAATGCTGGCTGTGGGCAGCAGCTTCATCTCATGCCACAGAGTTACAGCCGGCCCTTCCTAATTGCCTAATCTGTAGATGTCAGATTGCCTAGCCAGCCCACAAAGTCATGCAAACTACCCCTTCACAATTAATCTCTTCATCTCATGCCACAGAGTTACAGCCGGCCCTTCCTAACTGCCTAATCTATAGATGTCAGATTGCCTAGCCAGCCCACAAAGTCATGCAAACTACCCCTTCACAATTAATATACCTTCTACTGATTGTTTTTCTGGTGCTATTTTCTGTAGGCATCATCCATCACACAGGCTAACCTTTGACTTTTGGTGGGAAACAAAACATTGATAAGGCATGCTGCTGCTGCTGCAAGACCGATATGTAGACCACTCTTGCTGCATAATGATCTGCACCCTAAATAAAACAGCTATTGCTTCTGAAAAACCTGCCTTCTTAGTATAAGTTGACAATACTACCAATTCTGTGTCAGAAAGGGCCTTTCATTACGACGAAAACTTTCTGAATCCTTTAGAAGGCGTCAGCCATCTCATAAGGAGAAGGAAAGAAGTACATAACATATGAAGCCACCCCACATGTCTGTAATCCCAGCACTTTGGGAGGCCAAGGCGGGTGGATCACGAGGTAAGGAGATCGAGATCATCCTGGCCAACACCATGAAACCCTGTCTCTGCTAAAAATACAAAAATTACCTGAGCGTGGTAGTGCGTGCCTGTAATCCCAGCTACTTGGGAGGCTGAGGCAGGAGAATTGCTTTGAACCCAGGAGGCGGAGGTTGCAGTGATTGTATCACTGCCTCCAGCCTGGGTGACAGAGAGAGAGACTCCATCTCAGAAAAATATATATATTCATACAGATAATGAGGTCATCAAAATCAGGAAGAGACTAGCAAAAGAAGAGTATGATTAACGAGGTAGAGGTTCTAGATCTTACTGATTTTTTAAAATAAATTTTATCTGCTTAAAATCATAATTAAATACTAAATGTTTTGAGTAAGTTTTTTTTTTTAATTGAGAATGATTCTATCGAGAAAAAATACTTAATTTCAAGAGCATTACACTCATGGAAAATATAACAAAATTATGTTATCTTTTCGTTAAAATAGGTCTTGGTACATTGTCAGTTCAGTTATTGCACGGTAGTACTATGGTTTGCATAAGCCAGGGTTTAAACCTGAGATCTTAACACATTGGCATTTTTATTTTACTTTATATGTGTGTGTTATGTGTATTTATTTATTCAATTAGAAACAGGATCTTCCTCTGTTGCCCAGACTGGCTCACTGTAGCCTTGACCTTCTACCTCCTCGGCTCAAGCAATCCTCCCACCTCAGCCCACCCCTCACAACCCCACACCCCACCCCAGCAGCTGAGACATCAAGCACATGCCCTCACACCTGGCTAACCCTAGCTATTTTTAAATTTTTTTGTAGCGACAGAATCTCACAATGTTGCCTAGTCTGGTCTCAAACTCCTGGGCTCACGCGATCATACCACCTTAGCATCCCAAAAAGCTTGGCTTACAGGTGTGAGCCACCATGCCCAGCCTCACTGGGGTTTTAAAAAATATTAACAAGACCTAGCATTGTTAATTAAGTTAGATATTCAGTTACTAAAAGTACTGTATTTAAAAATCAAATTTTAACGCAATTGCTTTTATTGCTTTTTAATTCTAGGGTAGTTTTGCTGGTTAACACAGAAACATGATGAACATGTATGATCTTTCTGCTTTGAAATAATTTCAATAATTATAGAATGGAAACACTTTAAGACCTTAATATGACACTCTTATTTTTCACAGGATACCTGAAGTTCCAAAGAGGACATATTAGTTTTCCAATGTCATGGAGACTGGGTGGAACCCCGTCCAGAATGACTTTCCTACCTTGTTCCCTGTGTTCTTCCCGCTATTCACTATTGAGTAAGAGAGTTTTAAAACACTTTCCCATACACACCTCCATATTCCCTGTTTTCCACACCCTTATAAAATCCCATGGGATGCTTCTGGCAGGAATCAGAGACGGTTTCGGCAACTCTAGCCACATTCCTGGAATCCATTTGTAAGTGCTGGTCAGCAGAGCCTGCTTTATTCCCTTTTTGGTATTGGTCAGTAAAGGTTAAGTGTATGTGAATTATCACAAGGTTATTTTTACTCTCCCACTACCCCCTTTTTTTGGTAAGTGATCAGTGACTACCAGGCACAGGAAATACATTTCACTGAATGATTTTCTAAAATCAAAACTCCATCTGGGCTGGAACTGAGACAGGATTAGGGAGGACCATTTATAACATTAAAACCAGCTACGTTAAACCACTGAAAGATGCTTCGAGTGGGGAAAGGGTCTTCACCTTTGCCTGAAAATACTTCCAAGGCTGCATCCTGGCTCCTCTGCTAGCCAATGTGTTATGTGAATAGCAGCACATGCAGCTGGTGATCTCACCGTGACTCAGTGCACCAGAGGGAGACAGGGTCGGATGGATGAGGAACTAATTCAGAATTGTAGAACAGAAGTCTCAGCCAGCAAGTACTAAGTGCGGTCTCTTTAGTTGAACAGATAAAGTTCAAAGAAATAACAAAGTGAGGGAATGAGCTGCTAAAGTGAGTTTCCTTTAAGTGACAGGTAATATTTCCCCTTTAAAAATTAAAAGACACACAAGCAAAACCTGTCAAATTCATTGTGGACTACATTAATATTATAATAACTAAAGCTAGTAGCATAACATGGACTGATGAGGAAAATATCAGAGAAAGAAAATTAGTGTAAGTATAGCAGGAGTGGTCCTGGGGTGAGGAGTAAAATTTATAACCACAGCCATCTGGAGAATGGGGAAAATAAAGTATATAAGCTCTAGCTATTAGGGACCAAAACTCCTGGCAGCTAGGAAGGAAAACAAGCAAGATTTTATGAACCTGAAAGGAAAAAAGGAAAGGACAAGGGAACGAAGGGAAGGAAGGAAAGAGGGAGGACCACAGTAACCACTCCACTTGAAAGGGGTTTATTTCAACCACTAGTCTTACATTCAAATGTTCTCTCATCAGGTTAGTAGGGAAGGAGGGTCACTCTATATTGAAATTAATAGTAAAAACCATAGTTATATCTTTGTTTTGAGATAGATTCAGGTACAGAGACAATGATATACGGATACAAGGACAAGCCATCTTCTTTCAAAAATCTCTTTTTCTACCATACTACATTTAAAATCTAGGTTTCACAGTTTATTCTGTGAAAGAGTCTGGTTAGTGACTTTCTAGAAAGAAGGAAGAAGGCAGGGAGGAGGGGAGCGGAGAGGGTGGGAGATGAAAGTGGGGAGAGGGAGACAGAGGGGAGAAAGAAAAAGAGAGGGAGAAAGAAGGAGCCAGGGAGAGGAAGGGAAGGAAAGGTAAGTGAAGGGGAGGGAAGGAGAGGAGAGGGGAGGAGAGGGGAGGGGAGGAGAGCGGAGGGGAGGAGAGGGGAGGGAGGAAGGCACGGAGGAAGGAAGGAAGGAAAAGAAAGGAGAGGAGGGAGACAGTAGAAAGGAAGGGAAGGAAAAAAATGTAATAACAATTGTCAATTTGCCTTTGTAGATATTTATTACTAAAGGTTTTTTACTGGCAAAACACACTCTATACATATGTATATATACACATATATACTTACATAAATTAAAATATATATTATATATATGTTTATAAATGTTTATATTAATTACAACATATATGTAAAACAAAAGCAAAGTAGGCTCATTAAAGAAAATTTAAAGATAAGTAGAGAAGTATAAAAAGAAGCCTGTTCCCCAAATCCCAGAAATAACTGGTTAGTGTATATCACCCTTTAGATTTCAAGAAATACACACCTGTACTTATATATATATACATGTATGAAAATGTATTCACAATTCAGATAACATACAGATTTATAAATTAATTAGACATGGAAGTAACTAGGGTGTATTTCTTATTTCACATAAGAGAAACTTAGATGAGAAAAATTTGTTACTGTCAGGGAAATAACAGAATTAGGATTTTTTAATCCAAGGCCCTATGACTATACATAAGGAATATCAAATATATTTTCAGATTAAGTCTTACAAATCTAGAAAGTATGGGGCAGAAAAAGCCAGTGTTAGAGAGCTCGGTGATTTTAAGAACGACTATTGCCTTACGGGGCATTATTACCAGTTTGCCATTTACAAAATGCTTCTTACTCATTTCTACACAAGTCTGTATTATTGCCAATATTAAACTTCCATTTTACCCAAGCGGAAATGAGGCTTCAAGGCAACCGCACTGATTAAGGTCACCAACCCAGTAAATCACGGAGCCAGGACTTCGATGTCTGAAAACAAATTATTTTACAGGTGGAAAAGTTAACAAAGAATGTACAATGTTTTCTGAAAATGTATAATTCTCTTCATCATTTTGAACTATGGCTTTTGGAAATCTGCTCACTGGTGATGGAGATAGTCATGGAAGTATTACCCACAAGGACATAGTAAGATGCAGCCTCTTCTCCTCCCTGATTACTATCATTCTGGACAAAATATGCCTATGATATGTAGCAAGACTAAAATACTTCTCACATTAGAACTTCAGGAATTAAGATGCAGTGTTGCCAATCCTTGGTTTGTTTTCTGCAATACAGAGGACAGGCCCTGAGACTCTGTGGTGACTTGGTGGTATAAAGCAAAGAGCGCTGGACTGTAAGTTAGGAATCCTGTATTCAAAATTCCTCATCACAAAATAGCCCTGCAAATGAGCAAGCCCTTCTCTTTATCTTTACCTACTCTACAAAATGGAAAATGAAGTTGACGAAAGTCATAGAGGTACGAGGTCACATGCCTGGCACCTGTGTGTTATGCAGAAGGAAATAACTCAACATTCTACCAGCCTACCATTTACCATCTCAGAGAGTGAGCCCACAACACACTAGCTTATATAATGAATATCCTTTCCCACAACCTGGTGCCACTTGGCTCAACAGTGGCTATATTAATTCGATTGTTTAAATTCTGTGTACTTAAAAGAAAATTCACCAATTGGTTTGAACCAAAGCAAATTCCTGCCCTATTAGAAGTCTGTGAAGACCAAAGAATATCAAAAGGCTACAACCTTTCCTGAATCAAGTCTGGATTTAAACCAGTGACCTGAAATGAAATAAGAATCACTAAAATAGAGAGCACTAGCCTCAGTACTTAAGAGCAGGGCTCTAAATCAGCAGACCCTGGTGTCCTTGCGGGGTAGAAAGGATTCAGATGACAGGCTTCTTCTTCAACAGCGCCTCTTTCCAAACACTTGCATGCATCTCTAGTCACTACTGAAAGCTCAGGGTCCAAAAAGATCATCACATTTTATTCCCTAAATCCGGTCAATCAGTCACATAGAGGCATTTTTTTGTTTGGTTTGATAGAATAGATGAGAATGAGCCCATATGATCCTAAGAGGCAAGAACAAGTGGTGAGAACCCATTTCTCAGCATGCTTCAATCAAGAATTCCACGTCATCAGCAGCGCTAATTTAATTTAAAAAAAGTGGTGGTGTTATAATTGGATTGCCATTCTAGCTAGTGGGTTTCCAGGGTAACCGTGTTCTTGCCACAGATAAAAATCTACCTAGTAGCACAAAGACTAAGGGTTTGGGAAGAGGAGGCATCAAACGAGAGGTCAAGAATTCAGCCTGAAGAGAGCTACATCAAAAGCATAATTAGTTAAGGTGGACCGGATCCAAAATCTGAGCCCTGCCACTTACTAGCTGTACCATTTCAGAAAAAAATACTTAAATTCTCTAGGCCTTGTTTCCTCATCTGTAAGATGAACATAATAATGATACCCATCTTGTAGGGTTGTTTCAAGAATAAAACAGAGAAGTTAAACATTAATTGGTACATTTTAAATCCAGACTAAATGTAAAATAAATAAATAAGACTATGACAGATGTCCCTGAACCTAGACATTCAGAGACCTGGAAAAATAAAAACAAAAAATTAAAATAAGTTTTTTTTTTTTCTTTTTAATTTACCGCTTTGGAGAAAAAGCATCCTAAAAGCTTCTGAAAAGAGCACAAAATGGTTCTAGAATGATGCTCATGTTATTACTGCCTCCCCGGACCTGACTTCTGGGAATATGCTGCCATGTCAGAGGCAATTTGGAAAGTCTTAATTGAGGAGAGCCACAGCTTTTCAGGCCACAAATTAAGGATGGGGAAACCGTCCTTGCTTAGGGTGTAGCAGCTAACTGGAATGTTTCATAGCCATAAATACAGCATGCCCATTTACCATGATTCCCCGCAGGGAAAAGACTCATCTGCCACAAATGTAACAGTGATGAAAAAAGGGGAAATTTTGTCTCTGAATGAAAAAAAAAAAGACAGAAAAAAAGTGAGCAGTTTAAAGGGGTCTTTAATATGTAAATTTTACAAAGGGGGTATCAATTTTATTGCCTTTATCACTATCAGAAATGGGATCTAAAGCTGAATGAGTATAAGCTTCAGCTGTAAAATCCATCATGTTACAATCCCCTTTTAACTGCCCCCCACCCCAACACACACACACACACACACAGGAAATTAAGCTGGCAAAAGAGAAATGGAACAACTTACCACTGTGCTCACACTGACAAAACAACTTTCAGGCAACAAGCAGCAAAGCAGTGAGAAACAGAGTTTGAGAGCAAGAACACGCACACACAAAAAAGTTTCTGTTGTCCTAAGATTAAATGCTGAGGCAGGAAGAGATACTATTCTTGAATCAAGTGAGAAAAGATGGTAAAGTGCGATATTAAAATGCAGCACACTGGAATAAGTTTGCCTCTATAAAAACTGTTATGTTCTGTATGTGATTTAAATTAATGCCTATATTTGTGGGAGATAAATTTAAAATGAAGATAAATGGTGCCAGCATATAGCGTGTTCGCTGGAGCAATAAATAAGGCAGTGAAAGGTATTTTACATTTCAGTCACATCTATGCAAACAGGGAGCTCAAAGCACTTGAGGAACATTTGTTAATTAAATGCTATAATAGATGTGTGAGTCACCCAGACGGTTATTATATGCGTTTTCCAAAAAGAGACAGGGAGGTTAAGTGACCCAGGGTCCTCCGGATGCCGCTGAGAGGAAGCCCAGGGTGCTGAAGGCGTGCTTTCTATCCAACTCAGCTGCTTCTTGGCCTGGTGGGAGAGGCTGGAAAGAAGCCTCTCTGTTTGCTGTCCCACTGAACAGAGCTCACAGGCTTCCGTTTATTACCTACCTCCATAGCAGGCGAGATTAGAGCTGCAGGTAGGGAGAAAGGTAATGATTTTGGCACAATGTTAACAACATATTTCTCCTTCCCCCCTTACATTGCAAGAACGTCCTATGAATGATTAGATATTGTCATATCATTTATCTTCCACTTGCAAACTTGTCTAAACTATTGATTAGAGATGGCCTCTTTTCCAGTTGAAGCTCTTCAATTCTGTCCTCCACATGTCCTCTCTGGCCCTCCCCTAGTCACTGGCTCCCCGTTTTAGTAGCCTTATACCCTGCAATCCCAAGGAACACACTTTGTGTTCACAGCTCAGCTTGACGAGCAGCCAGATTAACTTGCAAAGTGAAAGCAAGAAAGATTGAGAATGTATAGATAATTGTGTATTGATCATTGATAATGGAGTAGACTGTGGCCACTCTACTGTTGTTTTATATGTTAGAAAACTGCCAAAACAGAAAGGTTAAATACCTCGAAGGAGGAAGTATCTACTGAAATGTTGGGACAATGCCCCTCTGCTGAGCTATCAGGTAAGAGAGTGGCCAGGAGAGGGCCCCTGGTTTCTGAAGATGTGGCGGCAAAAGAACACAGCAGTTAAGTGTAGGTCATTTTAGACAGATCCAGGTGAAATGTTAGGGAGGCTTGGGGATCAATCACCTAACCTCATCCCTTATTTTCAGAACAGAAGATCCTCAACTATATTTGTATCTTCTTTTTACAGTTTAAAAAATGCATTCCGAACCATTATAGTTTGAGACACACATCAATGTTGCACAAGCAAAATCCCTGCTCTGCCTCTTCTGTGCAGGTTGGTCTACCTTTGTATACCTTGGGTTCTCATCTGTACAATGGGAATCGTGATTATACCCACTTAATTAAGACTAAAGGACTCTACCCATATAAAGGCTTACAACAGTGCCTGGTACTAGGAAGCACTCAATGATTGCTAATCATTATTACTACTACAGAGTTACCGGCATTGTTCTCCACATATTTCCAGCTCTGTGCTCTGTGGCAACCCTATGGCTAGATAGAGTCATGTGAGTAGCTTTGGCTAAGGAGCTGTAAGAAGTGATATGTGTTACACCCAGGTCAGGGTGTGGAATTGCCAGTTTGAGACGCTCAGAGCTCTTTTACCTGGCATAGAGGTCAGAAATGCTGGAGATGACAACCACTAGTCTGCAAAGAACTCCTTCTGACCTATGATGAACAGGTAGCGTAAGTGAGAAATAAACCCTTGGTTTTAGCACTGAGATTTGGAGAGTATTTTTTATTACAGCATTACCTGAACTATCCTTACTAATAATTCTTACTTGGATTTACAAAGTGCTTTCACCTCTATCATTCAAATTAATCCCCATAATGAAGAGAAAAGGGCTGAGGATACATATTTAGCAGACATGAATTTCAGCCCAATTTAATACAATATTTATTGAATGGACTTCAGCAAGTCATACTGATACAGTTACAAGTCAAATCCTGTAGACTTTTGGTAAATCCAAAATATGATTTCACTGAGCTCTACTCACCTTAAAAATTCTTAGAACCCTTAACTCTATTAATATATTTATCAACAATTAACCTCTACCCAAACCTTAATGAGGACTCTAACATTTATTGACTTCTTATTTCGCTCCCTCATCAAATCAAAGATGCTACTGATTATAAAATACACCATTAGCTATTACAACACTGGAAACGAAGATTACTGCCATTTAAATTATAACATAGAGCTTTGTTGTTAGAATATCTATTACGTATTTGTTGAAATAAATGGCTTAAAATTATTTATCCATAGCTTGTATTGTATGTCACACCTCTAATATATAAAGAGAAAAATGTGAATGCAACAAGTGAAAGCATTCCAAAAATTTCTTTACGTTTAAATTTCAACCCTTTGAATTACTTTTCAAGTGAAAATCATTGAAGTTCTATGTTTTTCCTCATAAGACTGACCTCTGGGCCATTGAGAGTCTTAATTTTACAAAAAGGGGGTCCATTGTTGACTCCAGGATTGTCTTCAAAGTCACTGATCTCCATAGACAAAAGATTTTGATGTACACGTGCAGACAATGACAACCACGCCATGATTACCACTGACAGTAATTAGTCAGAAACGTTAAGCGCGTGAATGGGTCTTAGAATCGATGACGTGTGAGAGGAACGGTGCCTAACTGATGTCTCCACAACCGTATGATGCAGGCACTGTATTATCACAATCATTTGAAGTCAGAAACTGAGGCATGGAGAGATTAAGCTGCCTGTTAATGTTACCCAGCTGGTGAGTGGAAGATACAGTGTTCCATCTAAGGCACTTTGACATCTTTAGAGGAGCTGCTCTCAGCAAATATGCTGTATGACTTCACATAGTAACAATTAGATTCACTTTTTATTATTTATTTGCTTACTTTTTGATGGTGGGAGCACAATACTTACAAACTCTAAGCAAAGTGCTCAAACACTTAAGTCTTATACAGCTCACGTAATGGGCTGTTTATTTTGTTTAAAGCAAACCAAAAGGAAATTGACTCTGATGTTACTGCCAGCTCATTTTTGAAATAAGTAGACTTCAAGGGCTCTTTTTTGGTGACCCTACAAAGGGATATTGAAAACATTTGCATACAGTTGTATCTTCTGAAAATACTGGGATGTAAGTGCAGTGAACACAGAGATACAACATCTCTACCTAGTAGGACGTACACGTGGTAGATCTTAAAACACACTTTTATGGCATGTAGTTTCATATTGGCGTCTATGTCTACACAGGAACGTGAACGTGAGAAAGGCAAAGAAATCACCAACACTACACATGTGAGGGCTAAAGGTGTGCTTGATCCTTATGGAGCGTGAAATAAGGCTTAATCTTTGCCCAGAAGGAAAATTTCACTGAACAAGTGTAACGATTAGTTTTTCTTTAGCGGTTCTTTATCTCTTCTCCTTTTTTAAGGACAGTTAGCACAACTGAACAATTACTTAGGAGGTACAAGACAAAGCTTTGAGCATAGCTCTTTATACACTTATCAAATGATAATTCTCCCTCCTGATTATATACAGTAGCTATTTCATTCTCTAAATAATATCTTAGACTTTTTTTTAGAAGTTGGTTAAATTGCTTAGGAGGAGAATATTAGGCTCAGTTTCTTTGAAGGGTAATATAGTGGGAGTGACTGTATAATTATCTCCATCGGGCTTTCACCCACCATACAATGTTGTCTACTAGATCTATTGCTTTCCTGTTGAGAACTCCAGTTAATCCTACTAGCTATCACACAGGAGAATGAGGCAGCGGAATTTTATTTTTAACTAAGGACTGAGAGCAAAAGAGAAAGAAATACAAAGATTGATTAAATCTGGTGCATTTGCAATTTTTATTTTAAGCCATTTCAGATCTATGTGCTACCCGATAGGTACACTAATTCAGGCATTACAGTCATTTGTGTGGCCGTGTCCTATCTGGTATCTCTGCCTCAGACCAATTGTCCTTTAAGCCACTCCACAGCTGGGCTATTTTATGCCTTGCAATTACTACTCTATTCTGGATGGGGAGTTTTATTTTATTTTAAATTGATGTGGATTTTATTCTCAAAATGCCAAGCATTCCAAATGCTTCATACATACTAAATTTTTAAAAACAATTCAATGGTTTCCAGCAGAGAGAAGTTTAACATAAGCCCTTCGCCAAAAGCATCAGGATTTCTACAAGAATTGCTTTCTCCAGTGTTGCTTAACAGTTTGTCCATTGGCCTTACCTGCAAGACAGAACTCTGGGGTAGGGTCTCAGGCAGTCTAACCCAGATGCCTCTGACCAATGACCGCCACAAAGCCTGTCACGTTTAACCTTCTTTGCCTCAAATTATGAAGAGGACACAAATAGCTTGCAGAAGTTAGGAATGATAAGGCCAAACAATGTTCTTCTCCTGAATTTGTGATTAAGGCTATCAGATTGCCACTCCTCAAGAAAAAAAAAAAAAACTGTCATTAAACTATCAAGAAAAAAAAAAACTGTCATTAAACTAAAGTCAACCATTCATTTACAAGCTGATTACCACTAAAGTAGATATGATGTTATCTAGGGTTGGGGTGAGAATGGGAGGCAAATGAGCATGGAATCTTTAAATGTTCTAAAATTACATTGAGGTAATAATTACATGACTCTGTAAATAAATTACAAATCACTGAATTGTAAAAAAGCAAAATGAAAGCTTTTTGCTCAATATCCCTCCTCACTAACACAGTGACTGTTAGTATTTTCAATGGTGCCTTTAGTGGTCGTTTCATACATTTAGGCTTTGGAGCCAGACGGTCGTGGCTAAAACATCAGCTCTGCCGTTTAGTACCTCCATGAATCACATAGACCATTCTGGGCCACAATTTCCTCTGTTGAAAAATGGGAGAAATGACAGGCTACATCACTGGCTTACTAAGAAAAAAAAGTGAATTGACATGCGGCAGTGATACAGTAACTTCTCAGTAAATGTTTAGTTATCAAGGCATATCCTTTAGTTAATTAGAATTTTTAATATCAGATATACTTGGCTATTGCTGCAAAGGGTTACTTTGACAAGGGAGCATTCTATATAGAATTTTTTATAGATAAGCAATATCCTACACAATACAGATGACATACCTCTAGTTTTCATTTACAATCCAGGGCCCCTCCAATTCAAGTTTATTCATCGTGATCTTTCCAACGCATGCTTCACATTTCTCCCTCAACAACTTCAATGCTCCTGTCTTTCCCCAGACTCCTGCCCCTAGTGCCCTCAACTGCCTACAAGGACAAGGTGCACAATATTACAAAGTAATTGCACTGCACCAAATCCAACTGAAAGCTGCCCTCTGAACTCTCACCAATGTATTCTTTTGGCTGTTTTCTTTCTCTGTGCCACTTACTCCATTTTCCAGATACTTCAAATTCTTCACTCAGCCAAAAAACACCATTCTTTCACGCAATTTCCTTTCACAATTGCAATTGCTTCTGCCTAGACTAACTGTGGTCAGGCTTGAAAAACTTCTGTACATCCTTTGTGACCCAACTCAAATGTCACATCCTGTAGCTGACCTCAACCTCCATTGTGACCTCATGATAAGATACATACACACACCTCCACTGAAGCTGCTCCTCTCCACCATTCAGGCCCTGCAGCAACTGTTGGCCCACACAGTCCCAAATGTTATCACAATACTGAACTGCTGTGTGCATTATGTGTGATTCACCTCTGAGCCTCAGCATATTTTCTTTTCTTTTCCAGAAAAACTTCTCCCTTTCTATTTTCCCCAAGCCACTAACCTAGCAAACTCCTTCAGCTTTGTCAAACCTCTGTTTGGTGCAGATTGGATGCCTTCAGGGTGTTAGGGCAGGAGAGGGACATGATCATAGGAAACCTTCTCAGACCTTCTAGGACTAGGATTGCTTTGTCCCTGAACATGCTTCCAGAGTGCCTTCTGCTGACCCTGAACACTGGTCTATAGCACCATATAGAAAACTGTCTGTCAATACACATTTTGTGATAGGCCCAGTGTCAATCTCCATCACCTGATCACCTACAAAGTCTCTGGCACATGTCAGATGCTCAATATCTGTTGAGTGAATGCATTAATCATCTCCTTTAAAAACAGAGTCAGTGGACTAAAGGGTAAGTAAATAATATCTCAAAAAGCTATTATTTAAAAATAAATCTAAGTTACCAGTCTATCTTTCTCATTGTAGTTTTACCTCTCAGTTGCTGGACAGAGGTCTTACATGCTTGCATCCCTATCATGGAGCCTGATGCCTACAAGCTGCTCAATAATGTTTACTGAAATTGGATAAAAATAAAATATTATGCCAGATTCTGAGCCACTGAAGCACTTCTTTTTATTAGCATACTTTAAATTCTGGGGTACAGGTGAAGCACATGGAGGTTTGTTACATAGGTACACATGTGCCATGGTGGTTGGCTGCATCCAACACCCTGTCATCTACATTAGGTATTTCTCCTAATGCTATCCCTCCCTTAGCCCCCCATCCCCCAACAGGTGCTGGCATATGATGTTCCCCTCCTTGTGTCCATGTGTTCTCATTGTTAAACTCCCACTTACAACTGAGAACATGCAGTGTTTGGTTTTCTGTTCTTATGTTAGTTTGCTGAGAACAACACTTTCCAGCTTCACACATGTCCCTGCAAATGACATGAACTCATCCTTTTTTATGGCTGCATAGTATTCCATGGTGTATATGTGCCACATTTTCTTTATCCAGTCTATCATTGATGGGCATTTGGGTTGGTAACTGAATTACTTTTTATAAATAACAAATTTATATGAAGCTCCTCAGGAGGTAAATTGATAGCAATATCACAAATCATGCAGCTAGAAAATTCACTGCTTTCAACAGTCACATTTCATAAATCAACAATTGGGTCCAGTAAGTGAATTACCCAAGATCATCCAAATAGGATCACAAAGAATGCCTTCTCTCTGGTCAATATCATTAGTGGTATCTAACTTAGAAAGATTGTTGTGATCACAGTAGCCAGATTTAGTGTTATGAGTGTGGCCAGCACCAAATCACCAAATACAAGTGATAAAAGCTATAACTGGAAATAAATAGATCACCAGTGGGTTTTTAAAAACATGGTAAGATTAAACGGGTGTTGATATGGATGAGAAGAGGAATAAATAAACTCTTGGTTTGATATGAGTCATTCTTTGATGAGCTATTTCAAGACTGAATTGATATTTCTAAACAGCTGATGTCAAGAGAGGCAATATCAAAGAACCACAGAAGTGGAAAAAAATCACTAATGATTTCTTTTTTGTTTATTCCTTTGAGGTGGAATCTCACTCTGTCATTCAGGCTGGAGTGTAATGGCATGACCACAGCTCAATGTAGCCTTGAACTCCCACCCTAGTCTCTCAAGTAGCTGGGACTACAGACATGTACCACCATGCCCAACATTGTTCTTCACTCTTTGTAGAGATGGAGTCTGGCTCTGTTGTCCAGGGTGGTCTCAAACTCCTGGCCTCAAGCAATCCTCCCAAAATACTAGGATTAAAGACATGAACTACTTTGCAGGGCCTATGATTGCTTTTATGGAACAATTCCATAGAGTATAAAGAGATGCTACTTAAGGATTACTGGTATTGGAAATTTCCATTTGGGAGATTTTAGGCTTTATAGAACTCTCCAAATCTGACACCTAGGGGAGGGTATGTGACTCAACTAGATATTCCTGGCAGGATATGACATTGGGAAACTAACTAGGGGGAGATATCCTTTGATATCCTTGTTATTCACCGTACTCATCTAATAAAGGGGACAAAGCAATCCACATGTTCACGTCTCTCTCCAAAACACAGAGATTTCTCAAAAGCACCTAAGAAATACAAGTTTAAAGGTTGTGGTAAAGAATACCAAAATCTAGTCCAGGCGCGGTGGCTCACACCTGTAATCCGAGCACTTTGGGAGGCCAAGGTGGGCCGATCATGAGATCAGGAGATCGAGACCATCCTGGCTAATACAGTGAAACCTGTCTCTACTAAAAATACAAAAAATTAGCTGGGCATGGTAGCATGCACCTGTAGTCCCAGCTCCTCGGGAGGCTGAGGCAGGAGAATCGCTTGAACCTGAAAGGCAGAGGTTGCAGTGAGCCAAGATGGCGCCATTGCAGTCCAGCCTGGGTGACGAGAGTGAGACTTCTCAAGAGAAAAAAAGCCGGGCG